TTCTGACAAGCAGAAAAATTCTCTTGATTGTTAGAATTATCAAATTTAATTGAAACAGGAATTTAGATCAGGAGTTATTCTATACACCCATCTGGAAATGCACTCACTTTTGTTCACCTGAATCTAAAGTCATAAAATCGAGCTAAGTATGAAAGAGTGACAAACAAATAAGAGAGGGATGGACTAAAAATAAAATCAATAAAAGCAGTAAAAACTAAGATTTTACAGAGTTCTAGTATCAAACACTTGGAAAAGAAATGGACCTGAAAATCTATGTCTTCTACAGAAATTACAAGAATTTCTTAGAGAAGTGTAGAAATGGATATTATTGTATTTTAGGTTAGGCAGACTACATCACAGATGAAACTGAGATAGTTGATTTCAGAACCTTTAAAGTAATAAATAATACTTTGAGGACTCAAATCCCAAGACCAGATAAAAAGTTCATAGAGTGAGTGAATATTCATATATATTAAAATACTTGTAAAGATTCACATCTCTAGCAGGTAAACATATACAAAGTAGGAGCATTATTTTGAACTCTCTGGGTCTATGACAGGTTGCATCAGATGATATCTTTCCTATATTTGATTGGTGTTGTTTAGATCGAGACTTTTTTTTTCCAATGCAGAATAATGATTAATTAGAGCAGAGAACACATACCCATTAATTTTCCTTAGTTTAGTGCAGAATTTCCATCACTTTTGATGGAAAAATGCTTAATAAATTAATTTCTTAATACATAGGGAGATGGACGTGTGGATGGATGGGTAGATGCATACTTCTATATGCAGATGTGTGTGTTTTCATAAAAAAAAAACATAATACAAGTCTTGCAATAGAAAGGTTCACTTAACATATGCTACATGTGAAAGTTACATACGAAAGAGGATCTTATCTAAGAATTATATTCAACTCAATAAATGGGGCTTTGATGAAAACATATAAATAGGTCCTTCTAAAACTTACCAGTCTCGTGTTATTTTTAGTGAAAAATTGAAAAAGTGTGATAATATTTGAAAACACATATTTTACTAAGATTTTAAGTAGCATATGGAATTTATGTGGGTCTTTTTTATACTTAATAAAAAGCAGTAATTTTTTTTAAAGAATAAGTGATTCCTAATAGTGAACATATCTTTAATGAAAATGTACTGGAATTCTAATTTTAGGGAGAATGTCAGTATTTGGTATTATGTTTGTTTTAATAAATATGTTTAATTTTTTTTTTTTATCAAGTCATATCTGAATTCAAAAACTATTTAGGTCTGAAGAAATTACAGTAAATTGATCTTTCCTTTCCCCTTTTTATGCACGATGGATATAAAGTTCAGCATCATAGGTTTTAGAAGTTCATCTTAAGTCAAGTACTTCATTAAAACTGTCAGCCTATTCAGGAATGAGTAATAGTTTACTCTAACTCCAGATTTTAGTAAAAAAAAAAATCAGATAACTTATGAGTTGGAATAATTTTTATAACCCTCTCTGTAACATGTCCATATAAAACGTCTAAAGCTTCAAGACATAGTAAAAGAAAATAAATATATTTACAAAGAATTATGGACTATTACCACTTGTACTGAAGTTTCATATGTTCAGTTTCAGTTAATAACTCCCTATGTGCTCTATTTTTTTTTTTTTTTAATTTAAAACATAATAATTAGCAGAACTGCTAGGATAGTGACATTCACTTTTCCATAACTATATTGCTCACTGGTAATTTTTTAATGTGTATTAATTAGGGTTCCCAAGAATTTATCAGTTTCTTATCTCAATTTCTTACCTGTTCAAAGTCCTCCGAGCAAGCCAAAAAAAAAAAGAAATTTCACTGTTAGGGTGGTCAGGCATTGGAATAGGTTGCCCAGGGACATGGTGGAGTCCCCATCCTTTGAGGTGCTCAGGAGGTGTCCGGATCTGGTGCTGGGTAATGTGGTTCAGTGGTTTAGGGGTTTCAGGGGCACTGCTGGCTAGACAGTCAGACTGGATGGTTTTAAAGATCTCTTCCAGCTTTGACAATTCTATGATCCTACAGTTCTATTATATATATCAAGTATTTATAGGAAGAACTTATGTTTTCTGATGGTGATTATGAAATGTTTTGTCAACATTCATATGCTTGTGGAGATTGTACAAATATCAGATAAGCAATTTCAGTATTTCAGCATTTTTTCCCCTCCTAAATACATATATACAGTTGTTTACAGGTTAAATAGGTGTTCCAGATCCCCTTTGACAGGCAGTAGAACTCAGACCTAAAATGTATTAGGTTTTTTTATTATAACTGTACAAATTATTTGGAATATTAGACAGAAATCTAAATGGTGTAAAAATTTGAACAAAAATAATCTTAGGCACTCCAGGTTTTTTAGGTACCACATCTACATTTTATCACATCAAATTCAGGCATTTAATCTAGATTACTCACCTCTAGCTGATTACTCTCACCTCTAGGTAATGGGAATTCCATCTGCAGGTTAAATATGTTTCACAAAACTTGGCATCCTTTGAGGTTGTTACTATTCAGACAATGAACTCTTAATAATAAATAGTGATATCACATCTACTTAGCTATTTTGGAAAATTCATACTGTCATGCCATTAAAACAAAGAGGAAGACAGATTTATCACAATGTAACAAAAGTCTACTGTTATGCATTTACATAGAGTATGTTGGATTCCTAGGGATTTTCCACAGCCATGTTTTCCTTAAGTTCTAAATACAAATGTCCCTGATACTTATCACTGTCTCTGTCTCATCTTTATCAAATATCACATTACCATCTGTATCAAAGACAGTTTTAGAATTGAATTGCTGTTTAAAAAAGCAGCAGTTAATAAATCCACATTTTCAAACAGTGAGCTAAAATACTTGGTAAAAGAGATAATTACTCAGAAGCTGCAATCATGTCTGTGGTTATGCTGGATATGAAAACTCATTTTCCTTAAGTTAGTAGTAATACCTATTTGTGTTGGTTTTGGCTGGGATAGAGTTTTTTTTTCACAGTAGCTGGAATGGGGCTGTGTTTTGGATTTGTGCTGGAAACAGTGTTAATAACAGGGATATTTTAGTCATTGCTGAGCAGTGCTTGGACAGAGTCAAGGCTTTTTCTGCTCCTCATGCCAACCCACCAGCAAGGAGGCAGGAGGTGCACAAGGACTCAGAAGGGGACAGAGGTGACCCCAAATACCAAAGGGACAACCCATATTGTATGAGGTCATGCACAGCATATGAAGATGAGGAAGAAGGAGGCGGGATTGGAAGGTGTTTATCTTCCCAAGCCATTGTTATATGTGAGGGAGCCCTTCTTTCTTGGACATAACTGAAACGTGTCTGCTGATGGAAAGTGGTGAATGAATTCCTTGTTTTGTTTTGTTTCCATGCAAAGTTTTTGCATATAGACTGTCAACCCATCGAGTTTTCTCATTTATCTCACTTCTCATCTTCTGATTCTCTCCCTCATCTCACTCCCTCTGCCCACTCATGAGGGGGATGAGTGGGCACTTTTGTGGGGCTTGGTTGCAGGCTGGGGTTAAACCACAACAATATATTGGTTTGTAAATCTTCCACTCTTCTTCCCAAGGCTTGAAAATACCATTGACAGTAATAATCAAAGCAGACTAAAACATTTTCTTCTTTTTCTTCATTTTCTTCAATTACTTCAGAAGACAGAGTAGGAAGAACTGTGAGGATGAGGCAGAAGATAGGTGCATTATCTGTGAGTAAAGGAGGAAATTTCTGTGTGGACCAGCAGAGCATAGGACCATTTGCTTGTTTATTTTTAACATGTTAGAAGGTATTGGTTTCAAATTGACTAAATCTTTCTTTGTTCATGGATCATTGACTGGGTAGATTGTAACAGCTCCTTTGGAACCATTATGGTACGTCATTTCAATACAGCCACTAAGAGTGTGTATGCATCCTCTCTGTTTCAACTCCACCAAAAATATCATTGAAATAATTGCCTGTGTGCTGAGCATATTGTTTTTAAAGTTTCATCTAATAGTTACTTATTTTTTTAAGTATCATAAGCAGTTAGACTATGCTGCAAATGAACTGTTAAAAATATATGTTCTAAAAACCAAAAATAATGGCATAAATTTAAAAAAATCCCTCTATAAGTAAAACAAAAATAATCTAGAAACCTTTTTAAAATCTTATTATATAAAAAAAAAATTAAAACCAAAATATTTCCAAAGTAGAAACACATCCTCAGACTACAGACTTTACCAGGATTTGGGGGTATGGAGCTGGTTGTCATTAGCATGCTGAGCACACTATAGCTCTGTACTGTTTCCTAAACCTGAAAATAAAGTCATGATCAGATTCAACAGAGGAAGCTTAAAGTACATGAGAGAGACTTTAGAGTTGCTAAGCATTTGGGAAATCTGAAAAAAGGAACCAAACAGTATCTCAGGTAGAATGAATGCCCCACTTTAAAGCGGTGAAGGTTGTCCTCCAAAGAAGATATTTCAGTCTAAAATAGGGAAACAATATGTGCAAATCATAATGCATGTAATGAGCATTTCCAATTTCAGATTTCAGGTTTCTCTTTGAAAACATCTACCTCAGTAAATTTTTCTAAGGGAAACTGGTCTAAGTTATATCACAGTCTAGCAAACTTCCTGCTTTGTTAGAAAAATAAATTACAGTCCAGAATTTTAATTAATATTCTCAAGTTTCAATACATGCTATTTTATGATCCTTTCATTATAATTGGGTTCAAAGTCTTTCTCTTGTCCTACGAAAAAGAAGGTGAAGGAAAGAGCATTAAACACCAGAAAATATATAGTAATTTTCCTGTCCTGCATCTGTTGATTCTTCAACTTGAGGATTCTGATTTCTAACTAACAAATATATCCAGTACAAAAAGAGACTGAAATTATGTTTTAAATTGCAAATGAATGTTTTCTTATAATATATGGCAGCAAATAATGGAATCATAGAATCAATGGCTTGGGTTGGAATGGACCTTAAAGGTCATACACTTCCAAACCCCTTGCCATGGACAGGGACACCTTCCACTAGATCAGGTTACTCAGAGCTCCATCCAACCTGGCCTTAAACACTTCCACACAGGTATAGTGTAATCAGTTATAGGTATAGGTAAGGCAGCCACAAGGATAGGTAAGGTAGCCACAACATCTCTGGGAAACCTGTTCCAGCATCTCACCACCTTCACAGGAGGAGAGGAATTTCCTAATATATAGGTGAGGAGTATTAGGAAATTAGGAATTTCCTAATATTTAGTCTAAACCTACTTTCTTTCCTTTTAAAGCCATTTCCCCTTTTCCTATTACTACATGACTTTGTAAAAAAGTCCCGCTCCATCTTTCTTGTCAGCCCTGTTCAGGTAGTGAAACGCCTCAATTAGGTCACCCCAAAGTCTTTTCTTCTCCAGGCTGAATAACCCTGTCTCTCTCAGCATTTCCTCACTCCAGCCCTCTTTGTTGCCCTGCTATGGAATTGCTCTAAAATGTCCATGTTCTTCTTATATTGTGGGCACCAGAAGTGGATGCTGTACTTCAGGTGGGGTCTCACCAGGGTGGAGTGAAGGGACAGAATCACCTCCCTTAACCTGCTGGCCATGCCATTTTTGATGCAGCCCAGGATGTGTTTGACTTTCTGAAGAGCAAGTACACATTGCTGGCTTATGTTGAGCTTCTCATGAACCAACACACCCAAGTCCTTCTCCTCAGAGCTGCTGTAAATCCATTCTACACTCAGCTTGCAGCTGTTCTTGGAATTTCACTAATCAACATGCAGGACCATCTACTTGATTTTGTTGAACTTCATGAAGTTCACACAAGCCTGACTCTCAAGATTTTCAAGGTTCCTCTGGATGGTATTCCTTTCCTCTGGAGTGTCAGCCACACCACTCAGCTGGGCATTGCTGGCAAACTTGCTGTGGGTGCTCTCCCCCTGTCCATGCCTCCAACAAAGATGATAAAAAGGGCCAGACCCAAAACCAGCCCCGAGGAAGGACGCCTTTCACTTACCTCTTGGACTTCAAGCCATTGACCTCAAGCCTTTGAGTGTGATCTACCAGCCAACTCCTTAAAACTGACTGTGTTGTCTTCAATGAGGCTGAAATATAGATTTAGGGGAAAATATATTATTTCAAATTTCACAAGTTTTCAAAAACAAAGTACCTCCCCCCAAACACAATTCAAATTTGACTTTGAAATAGTTCATCATTTCCATCAGCTGTCTCCTTTTTTTACACCTCATAAGAATTGACTTTGTGATGTGTTTCTGAACTGCATATTTTAAAAAACTCATGCATTTTTTTTACTGATCAGAAAAATTCTCTGAATAAAAGCTGAGTCAAAAACCAGCAAGTGGCATAAGTGTTGTATGACCTCTCTGCTTCCTCTCTTCCTCTTGAACTTCTGAGTCCTGCAGTCTTTTGCTAAACAAAGGCAACCCCATTAGACTCATATTTAAAAGGGTTAACAGTGTACAAAATGTTATGTTCTGAAAAACTCCCAAAAACTAAAACTGCCGGGCTTTTACTTATCTAGAAATTAGAACACCATAAATGCGGCTGCATTTCTAAAGCTGTTACAGATAAAACTTCCAATATTCCTTTGAGACTATTGCATTATTTCTGCTAGGTCTTAGAGCAGAAGCCCAGAGTCATATATCATCTCTGAATATGACATCTCTCTGACCAACAAGTCATTTAACAAAATCTTCCAGCTGGTCAGCAGTAGTATATGTAAAGAGAGCAGCGAATCCTAGGGGGAAACAGATCCTTTGCTCCCCCTTTTCTCTTGTCTAAGGAGCCTAGATTGCCTGGAAAACAGTTTTCAGGCATCTATAATTGAATGTGAAATGAACTTCCTCTTTAATGAGGAGTAATATTACTGCCCAGGCAGCAGGAGTTAGTGCTCTGCTCCACGTCTCAAAATATTTCATTAATATTAACCAAGGTTTCTTACTCTCCCCAGGCACTAATGCTGTAGCAGAGAAGAAAGATGCAAATAACTCTCACAGTCACCCAACTAATCACTGGAATAATGAGTGCAGGGATAACAAGTACATAGAAGTTATGTTTGTCAGGTGAGGGAAATAGGTCTTTCCCACCAGGAAAAACCTTTTGTTACTGTGGTTGCAGGTAAAATCCTTTTGTACAGTGTTTTAGCTTTAAAAGTGTACTTTTCTATTGTTGGCTTTTGCATTTTTAAAAACAAAAATAATTTCAAGTAGTAAGAAGACATTATTATTACAAATTTTGCATTAGATGATATAAACAATTAAAATCCTTTGTCATGGCCTGCCAAAGAATTCTGTTCAATGATAGATTATAAAAATTTCACAATTAAATTTGATTGTAAATAGAAATACATATAAAGAAGACAGAAGTGCCATGAAGAGTGTTTTGAAGGGCAACTGATCTCTCAGGGGTAGAAGAAGACCGTAATTTCTAATGTAGCTGTGCAATTTATTCAACATGAGGCTAAGACATCCTCAAGCTTGTAGAACTCAAGTACAAAACTACCATATGTGATTCATGCCATCTTTTGAATATTTCCACTCTAACCTTTGCATGGAACAATATGGATGAAAATGGAAAGGCCCAGCATGAGACCTGAGATGTATCTATCCATAGCATATAGATTTATGTAAAGTATATATTGTTTGTGAAGTGAATGTGTATGTACATATACCAAAATCTGAGTATAACAGACTAATGTTTACTTCATTCTAGTCATAGAGGGCTTATTTTCTTTGGTATTGATACCTAATAACTTACACTATTCCAGAAGGATTGTCTGGAGTCCCATATGTAAGGATTTTAAAAATTACTTTATTTTACCCAGTTTGCTTGCCTTGGAGAAAGGAAATGGGGACCCTGCACAGCAGCTGGCCTGATTAATGGATTATTTCCAAACATGGGGGTTCTTAAGTCATTGTGAAGTTTGGCAATACTTTATAAAGATTGGTAACAAGTTATAGACTCCTACTCACAATTCCCATCTTTCAGGAGAACATACTCGATTTGCAAATAAGGAGAAAGGAAATAATTTATTACCAAAGTATTCTTCAAAATTGATTAGCAGATATGTTAGATTTTTCTGCCAGTTGCTGTGGACCGAGAATATAAAACTAAGAGACTCTTGGGTAGAGAAGGAACAGCAGAAGGCTCTGCTAATTTTGCATCTCATTTAGGAATGGTTGCATGTCTCCCACTGCTGTAACTGTTCCCCACTGTTCCTTTGACTCTCTGATTCCTTCTGAATACCCCTGAAATTCCTTGTCTGTGTCATGGCTTAGGCATATTTTCATCATTGCCTCTCCAATGGATTTCTAGGAGCTACCTAGCAGCAAGTCACCCCTGCACGCCTCTTCTAATCTTCGAGGTGTATGTCTGAAAACCTTCCTACTGGAACATATATGACAAAATAACTTGTTAAAAGACGAACAATTAGAAAGGATAAATATTTAAGAATTAAAGGTCATAATTTTTAGCTTAAAGATTATATACATTAGCAGCTTGGTCACTGCTGTAATGCCTAAGCACTAGTATCTTCCCTCAGCATCTGTATTACCAGCTTTGAGTCACATGCAGAGGCATGAAGCCCATAACAACTAGAAAAAAACAATGCTGTGTTGGAAGTCAAGAGTGAGGAAGAGTGTAAAGGAAAACTAGGCTCCACTCTTCCCCTTGCAGTACTTCCTCCCTCACCTTACATTTTTAACACAGAAGCAAAAAAATACATTGTCTGACTCATTCTTTTAAAGAGCCTCTCACCTGGGGAGAGGGCTGGAGGGTTGGGACACTAACTCTCTTCTCCACACGAAGTTACATACAAGGTTTATTATGATGCACACTGCTCAAGCTATGCTCTCTTTCTGCAAGGTAAAATAGCTCAGTTTTCAGCAGGCCTGAAAATGTTCCAAATTCCTGAGTAGACTGTTATCTGGAGACTGAACTATTCTCCAGAGAGTAAGGAAATATAGATTTATTTGCATATAATATTTCAACCATAAAAACATTTTATTTTTTCCCCTTGCCCTTTCATTCAGATTATCATTTGAATATCTCTTCCTCTCTGAACTAGCATCCTTGCCCTGTTTCAACCTACAAAATCTGCTCTATTCTACACATAAGATGAAACTATTTTTCCAACACCCTTAACAGCTTTTAATCTATTATTTATTATTAAACCACATAATTTTATTATTTATAGCTTTTCTTGTAAAGTGTCTTGGGATGCATTTTTATGAAGTGCTATTCAAAATAAAATTGTATTGCACTAAAGAACAGTTCTCATTTATTTTTTAATAATTATTTGATCTTGCCTTGATTTACTGAGTCACTAAGGCATCTTATTCCTGATGATTTAAGGGATGCTATGAAGTTAAAACTCATATAAACTCACATCCTCAGCTAATGTAATCGGCAAAGTTCCAATGCAATCAATGGAGGTCTGCCAATTCACACTAGTTCTGTCCTACCACAGTTTGTAAAAATCTCTTCTCATCTATATTTTAAATTACATTAAATATGCTAAATAATTTCTTTTAATCTACATTGCTTGTCACTATATAGAGTTTATTTTTTCCATTTCATCTTACTTAGACAGGTAAATCAGACTGGTTTATTTCTAAAAGCCTTTCAGTTCTGCCTCTGATATAATACTATAATTTTGAAAGGTTTTTCACTGCTAACTCTGCAGGGAAATGCAATAAAATTGAAGCTATATGTTTTGAAAATTTTATGGAAATGCTTTTGTCAAATCCTTGTCACCAAGAACTTCCTTATTAATATAACATTATAGTGATCATTTTCAAATGCTGGAAGAAGAATATAAAATAATATATACATATGAAAACCTGAATTTTAAAGTGAATCAATGATTTTTGGTGCTTCATTGTCAGACACACTACTAAGAAATCACAGACACCTGAATCATTAAGATTGGTGCTCACCAAAGTTGCTCTATCTTGTTTTCCTCAGCTCAACAGAGAAAAGAAAACATAGTGAAAGCCTTGTGAAAAAAGAGAAGGGAAAAGAGAACACTCACCTATTCCTGTCAAAACTAAAAGATAAAGTTATTCGGGAAGCTTGGGGAAAATTATTTATTGCCAAATCAGAGTAGGACATGAGAAAAAAATCAGATCTTAAAGCCACTTTTGCCCCACCTGTCCTCATTTACTCTACCTCATCCCCACTTCATCAGCACAAGGGCACAGTGTAGAAGCTCAGAAGATAAGGGGTTAATGTGGATGCCTCAGTAAAATAGCCAGATAGACATTGAGCCGACCAAGGACTGTTGGCAAGAACTGTAAGAAAAAAAAATGGATATGGCTGAAGAGAGCCATATTGAGGTAGGAAAGCATTTTTATGGGACAAATATCCTTGTTCTGGCTCCTGGAGAGAAGCTCAAGCACAGGAATTAAGCAGAAAAGCAGATATGAACTTTTGAGCAAAGACTGACCCAGCAGGGGGAGGGGGAAATCAACAGCACCAAAGATCCCAAAGCCCTCCAACCCATTTCCAGAAAGGTCTAGAACTGTGCATGATAAATAATTTGCATAGAAAATGAGAAAGTAAGCTTCAGGGTGGAGGAATTTATCTATAATCCGTAGCCTCAGAAAGCATGGGCAGCCCCTCCCAAGACCATGGACACCCCATCAGTTGGATCAATGCTGGAGCCAGAACTGGTCCTCCTCGTTTCCTTTCCCTTTCCTTTCACTGTCCTTCTATTTGGTCTCTCTCTTCTGTCGCAGCCTACTCCTTATTCAAAACCCAGCGCCATGTGTTTATGTTATAAGATAAGGAACTAACTTACCAACTTTACATTCCATGCCAAGTATATAATTCACTAATAAAATTTTGTAAGTTTTTGCAGACCTTCTGACTTTTATTTTTCCACTCCTTCCCACTGCCACAGCATGGGTCTCTTCCACAGGGTGCTCGCCTTCAGGAAAACTTCTCAGCATGGTTCCCCCACGTGGTCACAAGTCCTGACCAGTCTGCTCCAGGACAGACTTCCCACAGGATCACAACCTGGGCATCCACCTGCTCCAGTGTGTAGTCCTCCATGGGCTGCCTCACTCTGGTATTCACCACAGGC